ACATGGCAGAATTTAAGCTTTGGTCCACCGATTCTGAATGGAACAACGTCAGTTTAAAAAAACAATTCCAATTAGGCCTGTCAGAATCGGTAAAAGATGAGCTTGCCCGCACTGATGCCAACCACCCTGGATGTCCTAATTCGATTGAGCATTTCAATAGACCGCAGACTAAGGGGAAGAAGGGCTGAGAAAGTCTCAGGGGCTGCTTACTCCCCTTTCAAAAGCACACCTGCTGATTCGGAACAACTGATGGAAACCGGTTCCATCTGTGGTCCAATCTCGCAAGAAGAGAGACACTGTTCTCTTTTGAAAAGGAAGAAACCGGGTGAGTCCACATACGTATATAAACTAATCATTAACAACCCTTCAAGTACTTACTACTTCAAAATCTCTGTGTCCCACAGTAGGACCAAACAAGGATCGCCCTTGATGCCATGGTCGACTCAGGGGCTTCCGGGAACTTTATAGATTCCAGTGTGGTTGAGAATGATAAAATTCCTATATTCAAAAAAAATAACCCCAGCGTCAGTAAGAGTGATTGATGGCACCACCCTAACATCAGGTCGCATCACGTCCCAAACACAACTTGTAGGAACTGATTGCAGTCATATGGAATATTTACAATTTGATGTACTCCCTTCTCACTTTCCTGTTATTCTGGGTCTCCCCTGGCTTCTAATCCACTCACCCACTTTTGCTTGGGAGGAGCTAAAGTTGGCATTTGATTCTCCATTTTGTCAGAATACATGCTACAACTCCATGGCCCTATTCCAGATGAAAATGCAGGGTTCATTTGAAACACCATCCTTACCCAACCATTATCAGGAATTCACAGACGTATTCTGTAAAAAGAAGGCCGGATCACTACCACCCCATAGGCCTTACAACTGTCCTATCGACTTGTTAGCTAACCGCAAGATTCCTTTTAGATGTATCTACCTCTTGTCTCAGCCTGAGCTTGATCATCTCAAAGACTATTTAGAAGAGAACCTTGTCAAGGGGTTCATTAGACCTTCCACTTCTCCTGCTGCTTCAATCATGTTTTTTGTTAGGAACAAAGATCAAAGTTTACATCCCATTATTGACTACAGAGAACTCAACAAAATCACTATTACAAATAGATACCCTCTACCCCTTATTCCAGAACTACTCGAACGCTTATAGACTGCCAAGATTTGCACTAAGCTTGACTTAAAAGGCGTCTATAATCTGAAATGTATAAGACAAGGTGACGAATGAAAGACGTCCTTCCGTACCCAATATGGGTTATTTGAATATGTTGTCATGCCCTTCAGCCTTTGTAATGCGCCAGCTACCTTTCAACACTTCATAAACAACATTTTCCAAGATCTCCTTACATAGTTACATAGTTACATAGTATTTGAGGTTGAATAAAGACACATGTCCATCAAGTCCAACCTATTGTGTGTGTGTATAGGTCCCTGAGTCATCTCGTTATTAGGAGTACTTGTACCCCTGTATATTACCGTTTCTCAGGAAATCGTCCAAAAGCTTCTTGAATGATTCCACACTATTTGCTGAAATCACTGCTTGTGAAGTAATCTCCTTACTTCCAGCGTGAACATATTTACATTTAGTAGCCATGTCTCATAGCTCTTGTCCTCCATCCCTTTGATGAGTTTGGTCGCCCTCCGCTGGACTTTCTCCAGTTCAAGGACATCCCCTCTGTGTACCGGTGCCCAAAACTGCACCGCATACTCCAGGTGAGGCCAAACCAGTGATGTGTAAAGTGGCAAAATTATAGACTTATCCCTGCAAAACATTCCCTTCTTGATGCAGGACAGGACTCTACTAGCTTTGCTTACCTCAACCTGGCACTGTAATCTATTATTGAGTTTATGGTCTACAATGACCCCCAAATCTTTCTCCATTTCAGACTTCCCTAGCGGCATACCCATTATTGTATAACCCATTTGCTTATTTTTTATCCCAAAGTGCATATCTTTGCATTTATAGACATTAAACCTCATCTGCCATAAAGTTGCCCACTCCCCTATTCTATCCAGGTCCTCTTGTAATGTTATACTATCTTGGTCTGTTTCTATAACCCTCCCAATTTTGGTATCGTCAGCAAACACTGAGATTTCGCAGTTTACTCCGTCCCCAATGTCGTTAACAAACAGGTTGAAAAGCATGGGTCCCAACATAGAACCCTGAGGCACACCGCTAATGACACTAGCCCAGTCTGAAAGGGCGCCATTTATTGATACTCTCTGTACCCGTTCCTTTAGCCAGTTCTCTATCCATGTACACACCCTTCCATCTATGCCCATAGCTCTTAGCTTGTGAAGTAAGCGTTTATGAGGTACCGTATCAAAAGCCTTAGCGAAATCCAAATATACCACATCCACAGACCTCCCTCCATCCAGATCTCTACTTACCCCCTCGTAAAAAGTCAGTAGGTTAGTCTGACAGGAACGGTCTTTCCTAAACCCATGCTGATTATCACTAACTATACCATTAGCCTGAACAAATTCTACTAAATAGTCCTTAATCATTCCCTCTAGCAGTTTACACACTACCGATGTAAGACTAACTGGCCTGTAATTTCCAGGTTGGCATTTTGCCCCCTTTTTGAAAATTGGAACTACCGTAGCCTTCCGCCAGTCACTCGGAACTCTACCAGTCATTAGAGAGTCCTTAAAAATGAGGAATAACGGTCTTGTTATAACCGCGCTTAGTTCCTTAAGTATCTTCGGGTGCAGATTATCCGGTCCCATTGCTTTATTTGCATTAAGTAGACTAAGTCTTTGCTGTATCCCGGGTTCTGTCAACCACTTGGCTGTGTTTTGTGATGAACTAAGTGTTTTATCAGGGGCGTCAAACCAGTTTCCCTCCTGAGTGTATACAGAGGGGAAGAAAGAGTTCAGTACTTCGGCCCTCTCCTTGTCATTTGTGACTAACTTCCCTCTTTCGTCCTTTATTGGCCATATCTGCTCCTTTCTCCCCTTTTTACTGTTTATGTATTGGTAAAAATTTTTAGTTTTTTTTTTAACTATCTGTGGCGATATGTCTTTCGCACTCTATTTTAGCCGTCCGTATTGCTAGTTTGCATCTTTTATTGCTTTCTTTGTAGTTATGGAACGCCAATGCCGTCCCCTCTATCTTATATTTTATGAAAGCCATTCGCTTTTCCTTTATGTGATGCTTTACAATTGATGTTATTTGCGCCCTGTAGTTAATTTAATCAATACTCTGTGATTAAATTATACTAAACTAAATTAATTTAAGTTAAATTAAATAGCGCCATCGCCTTGGATTAGATTTGATTGTACTAGTGCCCTAAGGTTAAGGGTTAATTTAAGTTGTGTTTGCGCCCTGTGGTTTGTTTTCCCTAGCGCCCTAGTATTGGTTTATATAGCGCCTTGTGGTTAAATTATACACTTCCTTGGAGTTTAGTTTAGTTTATCCTTATCTAGCTTATATATATAAGCTAGATAAGCTTATATATATAAGCTTAGCCCCCTTAGCGATAAACAGTAAATGTAACAGTTAAATATAATAGTTAAGGAGAAAAACAGAGTTTAATATACACCCTGATAGTTTACAATGCAATCTATTTGGTCAATAATCAAATAAATTAAATTACTCCCCCTTTTTTTTTTACACTCTTACCCCCCCTCCCCTTACAACAGTACAGATCCTAATAACACCCTACAGCCCCCTCTCCCCAATTACTCTCATACGACCTGCTCCTTGTGCCCGTCATGACTTGTACCCTCCGTTCTCGCTGGCCATCCGGTCCCTCCGTCCGTCCGTCCCTGCGACCTCTGGTCCCTCTGCTCTCTCTCCTTGCTCAGCTCTCCTTGCTCTGGTCCCTCCGTCCGTCCTCCTGGCCGTCCTTGTTACCGGCGTTCGCTCGTCTCTCCTGCCGGCCGCCGACCTTCAGCCTTCAGTCCCGCCGGCCTCCGGTCCCGCTGCACTCTGGTCCCACAGACTGGTCTCCCGCCGACTGCCGTCCTCCGTTTTCGTCGACCTCAGGGCTCCGATACCCCCCAGCTCAGATGACCCCCCCGGCACTGTCCTGTCGTTCTCAGGGCTCCGGCCCCGCCGCTTCTCACGACTCCCGATCCTGCACGCCGCGCGCGTGCTTGCACCTGCAGCAACTTCCGCAATCTCCAGCAACTTCCGCCAATCAACTTCCGCCAATTACGTGTGTGTTGTTATCTATCTCGACGACATTGAGATAGACTCCAGCAACTTACAGGATCACCGTAGACACATCAGGTGGGTTCTCGCCAGGTTACGGGTACATAACCTGTATGCAAAGCTGAAGAAATGCCTCTTCGAAGCCACCATAGTGGCTTCCTTGGGTATATCGTCTCCAACCAATCCATCCAGATGGACCCAAGTAAGGTTGAATGCATCCAAAACCTGCCCAGGCCCCAAACCAGAAAGGCATTGCAAAGATTTCTGGGGTTTTCTAACTTTTATAGAAAGTTCATAAAAACTTTCTGCTATAGTAAAACCTTTAACGCAACTTACAAGTGTGCTCACGATATATTCTTGGAACCCTCAAGCCCAGGTGACATCATGCCTGGGGACGCCCCTGTTTGTAGCTGTGCCTGGATCACAAAATTGGCTGTACAGAATTATAAATTATTGGATGGGTAAGATGGTTAACATATGTTTTTTTTTCACCTGTGTATTTAACTGTTTTCTTGGAATTCAGCTTTATAGGAAACATTCCCTGAGAGAAACATGGAAGCTACTACCATCACTAACTTCTCCTAGCTGCCTCACTTTCTTAGCTTCACTACTTTAAATCGCAAATTAAATACAAGTAAGCAGATAAGGGGTTGTGAATTTACCCTGACTTTCCTGATTTCCATACTCCAGGTCAGCCACTCAGAAGTAATTGAAGCCAGAGGGTCAGGATCTCAGCAATGGCAGCTTCCATAGTTTTCTCAGAAAACGATTACTATAACTTTATATGTTTCTATATTTGTAATCTATATTCTGCAACATTTAATCCTCAGTGATGCACCAGTGAGTGAACTATCTTTGGAATTGCTACTTCTGCAAGTTGTCCTCCCTGCCTTACTGGAACAAGGACACACTCGACAGTGGTTAAAGGGACTTGTCAGGGCCTGGACTGTAACTGCTGGATATTTGCTGTGAGTAGAAACTTCCATCAAACGTTTGGCCGTTATAACACTTTACATGAAAACTAATATTTCTCAGCATTGATTTAGTTTTTAGAATATTTTGTCAGTTGAGGTCCATTTCTTGTAAGCACCTTGCATGTTTGGAGCAGAGTTCAAGTATATGTACACCCATCACTAAAATGAAATCATATAAACTTTAAATCACAAGTCCAGGCACAGCTATTATTTATTTTTTTAATCTTTAATTCTCACATAAAAATTCTGATTTTTTTTAGTTTGGTTAGGAGCTCCCTAAGCTCCGCTGATATGTACAATCCTGGTCAAAAGTTTTGAGACTGACACAAATATTAATTTTCACAAATTCTGCTGCTTCAGTGTTTTAAGATCTTCTTGTCAGATGTTACTATAGTATACTGAGGTATAATTACAAGCATTTCATAAGTGTCAAGGCTTTTTTTGACAATTACATTAAGTTTATGCAAAGAGTCAATATTTGCAGTGTTGACCGTTCTTATTCAAGACCTCTGCAATTCGCCCTGGCATGCTGTCAATCAAATTCTGGGCACATCCTGACTCATGGCAGCCTATTCTTGCATAATCGATGCTTGGAGTTTGTCAGAATTTGGGGGGGGGGGGGGGTTTTTT